AATTTATTTTTACTCTTAAGGTCGTTTGAGGATCTGTTCCTCAGGGGTCACATGGGCTTCGGAGGAGCCCCTGGCTCCTTTCTTTTACCAGTTCTGCCTATGTGAAGATAAGTCAAAGGTCCTGCTCGACCATGGCTGGCTTCGCTTGGAAGCATGGAGGAAATGATTCCTCTGTGTTGACCCTCCTCTTTGTAGACTGTACACTGGTTCAAGTCCATCTCGTGGTATCTCCTCAGCCTCCTGGATCAAGAGGACAGGGGACCCACCACAATTACAGGATATTTTGAGAGATGCTCATAGTCCCCTGGAACTAGTCGACCTAGGAGTATAGGAGCAAAAACTGACCTTTATGTCCCTCTGATCAAATTAGTATAGGCCTCAAAGTATGTCTGTTAAACATCCAAGAAGGTTAGTTCCACCAGTCTGGTACTTTTAATTACTGTGTACCATGTAAATAAATCTTGGGCAAAGTCTAATTGTTCTCAGATAAACCTTGCCTAGACATATATTTCTTGATCTGGTATGTATAATTTGTTAGTAGGTAGGTTGTTGGACTAATATGGCTCCCTCTGGTTTTTAAAACTATCTAGACATTATTTATCTCACATTATCTAACCCCTCCATCATTATTTTATTTTATGTGTATCATTTTTATTTTATGTGTTTGTGTGTATTACCTACATGTAGGTAAATGCACCATGTCATATGATGCCCGCTGAGAACAGAAGAGGCTGTCAGATCCCCTGGAGCTGGAGTTATGGAACAACTGTTAGCTGCCATGTGGGTGCTGGGATTTGAACCCAGGTCTTCTGCAAGAACAGTCAGTGTTCTTAACAGCTAAGCCATTTCTCCAGCCCCGGGGGAGGGGGGAGAAAATTTTAACTGAGTACATTGTAAGAGGGTGAGCAGCAGACTGAGCTATCACAGGCAATTTTAAAGTCTTTATATTTCATTTTGTTTTTAAATTATATAAACAATGTACTATAAATAAAGCATTATTAAAGGCTGAATAGCCACCTACTATATATGTGTATATATGTGTGTGTATGGTAAAATAATTATGTAGACTCTTGATACTGAATACATAGGTCGCTTCTATCTTTTATGCCATTATAAAAATTAAGGCCTTCATACAATTCTATTTGTATTTATATACTACATATTTGAAAATATTAACATCTATAGCAAATGTTTATCCATCTATTGAGACATCCATATTTTTTAAAGTTTAAAAAAATTATTTGTAGGCCGGGCATGGTGGCACACATCTTTAATCCTAGCACTCGGGAGGCAGAGGCAGGCGGATCTCTGTGAGTTCAAGGCTAGCCTGCTACATAGTGAGTTCCAGGATAGCTGGGGCTACAGGGAGACCCTGTCTCAAAAAGACCAAAAAAAAAAAAATTGTGTGTGTGTGAATGCTGCATGCTTGAGGGTACCTATGGGGGAAAAGAAGGGATTGGGATCTCTTGGAGCTGGAGTTACAGTCCATGTAAGCCACCTGACATGGGTACTGGGCACTGAACTGGGGTCTTCTGGAAAAACAGCAAGCACTCTTAAGTGTTGAGCCATCTCTCCAGCCCCACCATCTATATTTTTTTGTTTGTTGAGATGGGGTATCATTATGCAGCCAGGCTGGCATCTAACTTCAATCTTCCTGTTTTCCTAGATGCTGGGATTACAGTCATGTACCACCATGTATTCTACCTGTATTTTTACTGTATGGAGTATATATGATAAAATTTTAGAGATGGAACAGTTGGTAGGAGTCAAACCCAAGAACTCAGACATGGCAGGCAAATGCTGTACCACTGAATTAAATCTCTGGCCCAAAGGTATACATTTTTTTTCTTTTTCTTTTTATATATGTGTGTGTGTGTGTGTGTGTGTGTGTGTGTGCGCGCGCATGTTGTAATGTATGTATGCATGTTTACATGTGTGTGGGCACACGTGTGTGGGTATACGTGTGCACATGCACGTGTGTGTATGTATAAGATTCGAGATTAAATCTGAGGGTTTTCCTCGATTATTCTTCACCTTATATATATATATACTGATTCCAGAGCTTGTCCTTTTTGGTTAGTCTAGTTAGTAAGATTGCTCCAAGGATTTCCTGTTTCTCCCTCTGCACTGAGATTACAGGTAAGCCTCCTTGCCCACCTGGCATTTACACAGGATTTGTGGGTCTGAACTCCGGTCCTCATGCTTGTGTGGCAAACGGTTTACCTGCTGAGCCATCTTTAAAGATTCATTAAAGTTTTACCATTTGATGAAACAGAATCATGTTTTTTTTCATTTTTATAATTTGACTTTTATCATGTTTCAATTTGATAACCTGCACAAGTAATATTTTACTTTTATTTAATAGACTCTTTAGAAGTAATAACCTTATAGGATTTAATTCATATACCATAAAGTTTATACTCTTATAGTATGTAATTCAGTGGCTTTTAGCTTATTCACATAGTTTTACATCAATCACTACACCTAGCTTTAGAATATTTTGATCATCCTAAAAACAAATCCCACCTCCATTAGTAGTCAAAGTCCATTTCCCCACCTATCCGCTCTTGACAACCAATAAGTTATTTTCTGTTTTCATGAATTCTTTGATTGCTGGTATTTCATGTAAGCAGTCATTTAGTGTCCAGTTTTTGTCTGGCTTCTTTCACTCTGCATAGTGTTTTCAAGGTTACCCATCTTGTAGCATCTTTACCATGGCCCAGTAATCTGCCACTGTATAGATCCAAAACACTGTTTATCTATCAAGTGATGGCACTGATTTGTTTGTGCCTCATGGATAGCATGAATAATGCTAGTATACATTTGTTTGTAAACTTTTGTGAACACATACCTTCAATTTTCTTGGATATGGAATTCTTGGATCATATAGAAACTGTATATTTTACTTTTTAAGGAACTGCCTGATTGTTCTCCAAAGCAACTTTGGTGGTTCACCTAATTTTTACATGACACTGTATGCCCAAATGACCAATAGGACAAAGAATTAGGGACTGGGGGAAAACTCACAGCTGAATGTGCCTGTGTTAAGAGAGAACAAAGATCTCCAATCAACAACCTAGCTTCCCACCTAGAAAGGGAAGAACAAGTTAAATGAAAAGAAAATAATTGAAGGAAACTAGTATAAGCATTGAAATTAAAATAAATAGAAAAGCAATAAAGAAAAAAAATTAAAAACACCAACAGTGGGTACTTGGAGCAATCAACAGCACTGATCAAACTCTGCCTAGGCTGGCCAAGGAAACAATACAAGACTCAAACATGCACTTAAGAAATGAGAAAAAATTACCACAAATTTTATAGAAATTCAAAGAATTATAGAATGAGATCACGAACAACCATTTGCCAATGAATTGGATTTCTTAGATGAAATGGTCAGAAAGAAGTAAAATTGAAGAAAAAAAAAGACATTTTGAATAGATGTATGTTTAGTGGCAACACTGAACCAGGATCCAGAAGCCACCAACAGAGTCTATGATGCTTCATCACTGAACTATAGGAAACAGTATGGGAAAAAAGGCAACCTGCTTCAGAAGCAGTCCCAAATGGAAG